TTAGACGAACTTTATGTTCATTTCTATTTTGTCCCAAAGATTGCATAATGTAATTCTTTCCTCCTCACTGATAAGCTTCGTTTGCTCCTCTGGACTGTCCGCGATCATAATCCACCAAACTGTGCACCGAATTAGGCAAAGTGCACCCTCGATGTAAAATATCCACACCCATTCGAAATTCGCGGCCAATAGTCCCGTTAAGAGTATGGAAATCACAGTGCCAAGTGCAGTTCCTAGAAGAAACGAAGATCAATATATATTTTCACAACTAAATAATGATTACGATAACAATATTATATTTTTACCTGCATAAACGATCGAAGCAAGAACGCTTCTCTCGTTTGGCGGAGCCCATTTAGCGATCATAACGTGCATTGCCGGAAATGTCACGCCCTACAATTAAAAAAAAAAAAAAAAATAACAACATTTTCTATTTAATTTTAACGTTTAATTACGTTGAACAATTTTTTTTCAATTCGACTAACACCGCCGATTCCTTGAAGAAATCTCATTATTATGAAGAGGGAATAATGCGTTTGAGCAGCAACAGGTGATAACACAGACGCTACGACGTTCAGAAGCACTGATCCATTCATCACCCATTTGGCGGACAACAGTTCGGCCATTCGTCCCCCCGGAAGCAAAGAAACCATGTATCCCCAAAAGTAGGATGACAAAATAAGACCTTGTAAAGGCTCGTTCCACACGAATGGACCATCCTGGAATGGCAAGTTAAAAAGTTCGTGTGAAATTTTTATAAATTTTTGTCTTTCAATCGTTCGACACGAGTTCGTAAACTGCATTATTTATAAAATTATTTATAAAATTTCGTACGTTACGTACCTCGGTAATGATTTTCGTCGCATTGGAAGAAATATCATCGTGGCGGCATTCATCGGCCCCGTCGGTAATCACATTCGTCGCGTTCTCCGACGATTCGAATTGATGCAACGTGGACGACAACTTTACAGCGGTGTGGTTGACCATAGCCACGATAGCCACGCTTACGTTCACCTTGAAACCGTAGATAATGGCGAGGCCAATAGAGCCCATAATCGCCATCAGGTATCGTATAGGAAACGTGACATGCCCTGTCTCTATAAATACATTGTGTATTTAAAATAATTTTAAACGTTGATGGATTTTGAATAAAAAGGCTAGACAGAGGGTTTTTAACAATGATAATGATTAATCGATAATAAAACATCGCGTGGAAAATCGTATATACGGAAAGAACGTGAACAAAGGAAGACGTGTCGTTCAGCATGAACGAACGTTTTCAAATATTCTACGTCTTCGCAATCGTTTCTCTTTTTGCGGTCGTTATTATATAATTTTATCTACGAATAAATAAATAAAATTAAATAATAATTTTAAGGAAAGGTTAAAAAGCTATCGTATAAATTTATGCGGCAATTTAAAATATGATAAATTTAAAATTAAAATATCTAAAATTTTCTTTCAATTTAATTATCATTTTGTCAAGAAAAAAGAATTATATTTCGATAGATGAAAGAATTGTGTTTGTGATTCCACGTTTCTAACACGTGTTATTTTTTATCATGTATTCGGTAAACAAATATTCAACTATTTATTAACAATAATGAAAAAAGAGTTTTTAGACCTAAAATAGACCTTTTCCTTTTGTACCACGCACATTTATTTTCAGTCCAATGTAGGTCAAGAAACGAAGTTTCAAAATATATATATTTTTTTCTTCTTTTTTATGAACATATCGCGCAAATATATTTATTTCATGTCAAAATCAATGAAATGTTTGAATAACAAATTAATGATTTTTTATTTTTTTCAGATAAATTTTAAATATTGTTATCAATTGCACAACTATTAGAACCACAAAAATTTATATATGAATGACTAATGACTAACATGTGTCATAACAAATGCATAGAGTTGCATCAACTAGATAAACTGGATGAAAAGCGTGATTTCAAAATTATTGTTTTATCTTGAATTGCATCATGTATTTAATATTAAAAATTAAAATCAAAAAATTATTAAAATTTCACAAAGTATATATATTTCATTTTCTCTCAATCTTCGATACGAAATTTGACGAAATTTTATAAAATATTTAAATAGAAAAAAAAAAAAAAAAGAAAAACAAATTGAAAATGAGTTACGATAGAATCTTTTGGAGCAGAGGACACTTGAAGGTCACAGAGATAGAACCTCCAATAAAGGATAGAATTTCGAAGTTCAATTAACTTAATTCCCTCTTTTACTGAAGTCATTAATACCACAATCTCTCACAGATCAGAATCGCACGATATAAGCGAAAGACTAATAATTACTTACCCTTGAGATTATGTTTTCCAGCCATAGTTTTCCCTCGAGTCAAACTTTACTTTATTACGTATTTTCTCTGCCTCGAAATAAAACGTAAAAGAAAAAAAGAAGAAAATCTTCTTAAAAAAGTTTACAATTTTTTTTTCTTCGATTACAATCGATAATTCAACGCAATTTAATATAACAATTTGATCGTTTAATATTTTCGACTTAACGCCATTCGAAGAGAAGTTTTCGTGAAAACAGGATTCACCCGAAAAATTTAATACAATTTTGATGGATTATCGGACGATACAAATTTGTTGAATTTATAATTCTCTCTTTGCCTCCAGCTCGTTTCCCCGTTCGCGCAACATGCTACTGAGAGCGAACGCGATACATCGGATCCTCCAAACCATACGAAGGAAAAACAGAGCGTGCGCCTCTTCTATAAATGCCATAGGCGTGTGAACGCAGGCTCAAATTCATCGTTTTCCGAATACCACCTTCGTTAGACTGTGACGCGACGATATACCTACGTATTTTCAACTTGACCGTTGATTCTGAGAACGTGTGTCATTGAAAACGTACAAACATTTGATGGATCATTAGCATTTAGATTCCTAATATCTGTGAATATTATTTAATATTGCTAGATTTTCACGTCTTACAATATATAACGTATAAATAAGACATATTTAGAAATTATTAGAATATTATTTCCTTTATTATCGGATATCATTGAATAGTTTTATATAATATCTAATATTTGTACGATTAATTTAAAATTCTAATTATATCGATTCAATTAGATGCAATGTTATTAATTTATAAGATTGAGGATATAAAATTCTAGTTTCGTTTCGATCCTTATCCAGAACGATAAAAGACGAGTGAAAGACGAAGATAAAATGAAAGTCAATGCGTTTGAAGAAAGTTTATGGCGTATTATTGTTTCGACGAAGTTCCTCTTAAACATGTATCCCTGATAAATAGCGAAGCATAAAATAAAGAAAATTAAATAAATAGATTAAATGATTTGAAAAAAAGAAAAGAAAGAAAAGAAAAATTTGTATTTTTACGTTACGATTCGAGTTAATTTTTTTATCTATAGGAAATGCAATAGTTGAAATTTCACCGTCATACCATTTACCATATTTTGCTTAATTTGATGCAAGGGAACGCGTGATGAAGCAAAATGAAGTTGGATTCATAAATAGGTTACAATATACATATGTCGACCTAATCAAAATTTGTAAATTGACAGTATGTAACAAAAATAAAACGATGTCATTTATAAATTGTATATGTATAAAAATAAGTTCTTTCTGAATTTTAATAACAAATAAGTAAGCAAGAAACATGAGCGAGGAATTGGCACCTGATCCGACCCTTGAAGAAATATATACATGGATCGAGCAAATACAATTTTCTAAACCAAAGAAAAATCTTGCTCGAGATTTTTCCGACGGTGGTAATAATGAAAAGTTCATTCATTTTACAAGCATAGCACATTTTTTTAATTAGCCAATATGTTTAAAAAATGCTTTTTTTCAACAAATCCTAGTTTTTATGGCTGAATTGTTAAAACGGTACTATCCCAAACACATTGATATACATAATTATGTTCCTGGAAATAGTATTGCAAAAAAAATAGATAACTGGTGTACACTAAATCGGAAGGTACTTACAAAGCTTGATATCAAATTAGGAAAGGATATAATCAATAAATTGGCAAATTCGCAACCTGGTATCATTGAAAAAGTTTTAATCGAATTGCGAACTAAAATTTTAAAAGATTGTAACACGGAAAGGAATAATTTATATTCTGAATATCAAGAAAACGAAAAAACAGGTAAGTAAATAATTACAGTCAGATGATAAAATTCCGGAAGAAATTTGTATAAATTTTTTGAGTAAAATTTTATTTTCTATAAAGAAGTTGTTAAGTCAGTGCTCAATACCGAAGAAGTAGCGAATAAAACTGTACCACGTCATGTTTTCGTTCGATTAAAACAGGAATTAGAAGAAAAAAATGAAATGATAAAAATGCTCCACCAAAAGGTATCTCATCTCGAGTCTTTGATAAAACTAAAAGATCAAAGAATTACAGATCTTACTTCACAAATAATAAAACCTGTAGAACAAAATACACCAAGATCTGTAAATTTAAATTCCACATCTAATGTAGTTCCCAAACTTCGAACGAAAATTATATAGATAATTAGAATTTTTGAAAGTTGAAACAAATGAACAAAAATCTTGAAAATATTTTAAATAACAGTGTACTTCAAAAAATTGTCATTTATAAACTTTTAATCAATATATCATTTTAACATAGTGTACCACATCTTGATTTGTTTTTTCATATTTGGATTACAATTTTTATACTTTTTGTTATAGTTTTTTTTATTATAATTAAATCTATTATTTTTGTTGGTTTTTGTTGATATTTGTTAAATCCTCGTTACAAAAGTTGATATAATTATCATTATCAACGTAAAATTCATATTAGTTGTTTCTTATTTTTAAATAGATTCAATGTAAATAGAAATTTTATATTGGTGCTCTCATGCTTGGTGGTGAAACCAAAATTACACCATCACCACGAACAAAAAGCATAGAAATATTCCTTTTAGTCGTACGATACACTTCCTCGTATGTTTCTTCATCAATTTCTACTGTAGTTACAGTTTCTTCTGCTTCACCCAATACCATATTCAAATGTTGGTCGTAAGCCTGTAATTAAAAAATTTTATATTACTAATTTTTTAAAATTGACAATAGAAATGTATATATAATAGATAGATAAAAAAATAATATTTACATGCAATCGCCCCCGTAACTCTCTCTCATTTCTCATTTTAACATATATTCTTTCATCAAGACTCAATCTTATAAGATCTAAGGGTTCTTTAACATTTATTGCTGGCACCTGAAATGAAAATGTATAAGTATAAGAGGTTATTTATAAAATTCTAGAAATAGTTGTGTTTGATCTTGAACTTTATCAATATACACACTTTATCCAAAAACAAATGTATATGAGGTTATAATAGAGGTTAGATTCACGTTTAAAACTTTAAATCAACGTTTTTACCTGTTCCGTCTCGTCAGCCATGATATAATTAAATTCAGTATTATTTACTTATTTTATTCTTAACTTATAAAACTAGATTAACTTTTTACGTTTATGTTTACAAACAAATATAAATGATTAGTTTACTTTCTACAAAATCAACTATTGCGCGGCATCATTCGGATAAACCGGCAATATTATCATTTCATGATATCAAACTATCATCCGGCAAGTGGCGCCATACATTTCTCAAGATATTTTCCTGATTTATTAAAATTTTCTTAATCATTAAATAATATTCGTTATATCATTTTCATCGAATAAAAAATTAATTAAATCTTCTGATAAAATATGTTTTTTATAAATATGAATATATCCTATATTTCTATAGTTTTTATTTTAAACCAAAAAATATTTTGATTTTCCCGCGTACTAGTTATCAGCTTATCCGCATCAAGGAATGGGCGCTACTAGTCGACGATAGAAATCAGCGTAGCTTGAGGTATTGCTAGAGTGAACGAGCGCGAGGGAGCGAGCAACGCCATTTTCTCAATTCGCGGGTGAAGACTGTGCGCGGTGTGTGACTTGTTTGATAAAGTTTATCCACGATTCTGCTTCACGACGTCGAAATTACGGGCTGTGTGACGGCCCTGGTGTATTCACCAGTGTTATGCATAGACACGCGGCCAGCTGTGTGGTAGATATGGTGAGTTCAGAGAGATCGAAGCGCTCCCGGGAGACGTGACGTCTTGTCAGTCGGCCTTTTCCCATTCCCCCTTCTTGGTGAGCTCCCGCAGGGATGGGTCGTGCAGAGTTGTCGCTCATGATAACGTAACATAAACTAAACGGTAAATCGAGCGCAAGTTTGCAGTCCTTGTCGATTACTATTTCACGTGTAATAAAAAGAATCGTGGTGGAATCAGGAGCTCGTAAAATGTTTCGTTCGGGCCAATGGGCGGAGGTTTAGGGCGGCACATGGCTGTTGGGGCGCCGGCTGTGCAGGGGGTGGTTTTCCCGACGCTAGCTCGAACTGACGAAAATTCACCGTTCTTGTCAGTTGCGATATTCTATGCGTACGTATATCTCGATCGTGATCGCGTGTAATTGCGGCCGGTCACGGTTCGGATAACAAGTTCATAGTGACAGTGGAAAGAGAAGTACTCCGTTATATGTCTCGATTTTCTTATTGAAAAAGAGAAGCAGCCGGAGGCTTCGGCCTTTCGCGGAGATTACGCGCGTCTCTTGTGTGCTATAGTGTTCTGCATTTTCTTCACGTAAAGCTTGGACAAAGGAACCAATACTGATCACGGACGATCTCTGGAAGAGAAATATTGGACGATCTTTGTGTTGCTGCGAAGCAGGGACAACGGGTAACGTAAGCTCCTTTCATATTTGTAAATTGTGATATCGTGTGAATCGTTATAATTTGATCTTCCACGACGATTTATTAATGGACCGTTAGATCCGTATGGAATGTGTATGCGTCAGTATTATCGATCGATGCTTGTTGACATACAGAAGACTCTTCTTTCGTTTTTTCCTTCAAAAGAATGATATAATATACTTATCTTTACATTTATACCGTTCACTTTTATCTTTCGTTCGATTCGTTTACATTGGCGTAACCAATTTCAGCGATTTCGAGGATTATTTTTTTTCTACATTTCCTAATTTTCTACATTTATGTAATTGATTGTGATCAAATACGTATAATGTACGTTTTTTTTTTTTAAATTTCAAAACCGTTTTACCAAAGATGAAATTTGCCACGAATCTATTCTACTACAAACGCATTAGATACACGGTATGATCCTACATGTTACATAGGCGCTTGGTGATTAAAATTCGCCGTGACATTCATGCGCCAATTAACTCGCCCGGCCTTTCGACCTTGTTGACATTTTAAACGTTTTCTGCCCTCTCAAGAAATCCGATAGCTAACTTCACACGTATATACTTTCAACAGTTGCCTCGCTAATCTTGGATCATCTTTTTCCGATAGGTCTTCCTATGCGTCGTATCGTTTGTCATTTTACAAACGATTCATTTTGCTCGGTATAAAACAATATTCACAATTAACCCCGTTCAAATTTGGCTACGACAATCGATAGTCTTACGTTAATGCATTGCGTTACTACTGGAAGAATGAAATTAAAAAAAATGAATATATCGTTTCTCTTCGTTTAAAATATTCTTTGATTTATAATTAGAGAAGTATGATATTATATAATTAGTGTATTAACTATAATTAGTGGTTAACTTATAATTTATACGTTGTATATTTTCAAAGATAATTATCGATGATTTGAATTTTTTACGTTGCTTTTATCGGTATCTATATTTCATTTTATAGTGATAATTTTATGAATACAGAAGCGATAAATTTATGATACGCGTTTTACAATATTATCCAGTGGGTACCCGATTAACCGGCTTAATTGAGACCGAACAAGCCGGTTAAATCGAGACCAATTGGTTAATTCGGTGGCCATGATTAAACTAAATATGGTTATTTATAGAAATTCATCTATATTCATCTTTGATTTTACAAATGAATATGATGAGATTTTTAATATTTTACTTTTTAAATAGAATAATATTTTCTTTAAATTTATAATAAATCGTAATGTATTCTTATTTTAAATCCTATTATACCTTATTCTTATTTATATTATTATTTTATTTCTATAAATTAAGATAAGTAGTTATTGAAGATTGAAAATATCGTAAATATAATTGTTTAGTTATTATAGAGATAACGTTTTAATTAAATTAAATTAAAAAGATTATGTACTTGTTTCCTAGTCGAATCGGAATTAATATCGGAATAAAGTACAGTCCTGCGCAGTGTAACATTGCGCAAGCAGTTAAGATAGTAACGCGCGTTAATTTATATTAGATGGTCGTGCATTCGATAAATTTCGGTAAATTACATCGAAACAAATTGCGCGTTCAATTCAAAATGGATCTTTTGTCCTTATCCTAGACATTATTCTAGGAATAATGGTAAATATACGCGTATATAAAACGAGGTATTCGTAATTTCTTTCAAAATAGATTATACAGTTCCTCGTTTCTGTTTCGTGTTATTTTTCACTACGTTACACAAGTAATATAGATTGTTGTATAATGTATCGTGTGAAGTTGCGCGCATACTCACGAACACGTGTCCGGACACGCGACGTGTGCGGGAGAACGAATTCAAAATAACCGTGTGTTTTATGGGTGGAGTACCGTCGAGATATTTCTTTATTCATGAGTGCAAACGACGAAGCGGCACGGCGTGCATTAATCCCTTGAAATCGTCGCTCGACCAAAGCGCACCAAGCCGAGTGTGTTTTTAACGCTCGTCTGCATTGAAACGCTTTACGTGGAAAACCGAATTACGAATTTATGCAACGGATAAACACATGCATCGGGGCCCTTTGAGGAACTTATCCGTTTATCCAAGATGGATAGAATTGATAGTTGATGACATGCTATTACCGGTAGATGGTACACGTTTCGTGTTGAAAATAATTAGGGGATTGATCAGAGACGAAACAAAAAATTTTTTCCCCCGCGAAATATGAGCGTTATGAGTATCGAATAAAATCAATTATTCAACCGTTTTTCTCAGATTATATCTCTATTTAAATTCATAAATGTCAAAACAGAATAAGATTAAAAAGATTATTCTCAACGTTCTATTTAAAAATAGAGAAGTCAACGCGATCGAATTTATCGAGTCAATTATTTTATTTATTCAGATATTTAATCCAATTCGGTATCATTCTCTCAAACAAATAAATATTCTTCATTCCCCTAAAATGTCTACCTACTACTCACTTCGCTTCTCGATGCGCTTTCGTACACTCGAAAGTCGATTATACCGATTTGCGCGTACCGTGTTAAACCATACGCGTCACGAGTTGATATTAGCCGATGATTTACGAGGCTTACGCGCAAATAATAACGCCTATCCTGTCCTACAGTGATTCACGTGCAAAACCAGAGATGAAGCAACGCGTCACTGTTTGTCGCTGCGTAAAAAAAAAAAAAAAAATTATTAAACGGCAAGCACAATCCAGGTTTCATCGTTCGGTGTTGGATCCTATTATCGATACGCCCCCCCGAGAATTCTTTGCGCGTGGAAACCGAAACACGATCGAGTTTTCATAGTTAAATTGCTTTCTCTGTTATATATTGTTTATCGCGAAACTCTAGGGATTTCTAAATAGATTTTTATCGTTACTTGCCTACAGTTGTTTATTACCTCTCAATATCGTTAATTCTAGGGATTTCTAGATGCTTATTATTAATTCTCTAATAATCAAAATTTTACGAATCGAAACGGATGCGAATATTGATTTTTTGACGGAGTTTGGTTTACCGATATAACAAATAGTGGAATAGTAGAATAATTATCGAAACACGATCGGTTAAATTGCTTTCTCTGTTATATATTGTTTATCGCGAAACTCTAGGGATTTCTAAATAGATTTTTATCGTTACTTGCCTACAGTTGTTTATTACTTCCCACAAACGTTGATCCTAGGGATTTCTAGTTAGATGCTTATTATTAATTCCGTACAACCAAAATTTTACGAATCGAAACAGATGCGAATATTGATTTTTTGGCGGAGTTTGGTTTACCGATATGGCAAATAGGATGGAATAGTAGAATAATTATCGAAACACGGTCGAGCGATGGCCATCGCGGAATCCGGCGTGTTATCGCGATAACTTTCCACTTTCTATTTTTTTTATTCTCTCTCTTCTCGTTTCCAGGAAAAATGCATCGTTACACGCCGCATTGTTTCGAGATTCGCGGCGATTGCGGCGCGATGTCCGCGCTTTTGCCAAACGGTGCGCGACAGAAGAAATGGGGACAGCTTAGCTCTAGGGTTCCACGATCGAGAATCGAGCGTCGTTGCACGATTTAGCGCGTTTCGTATCGCCGCCACTCTGTTACGCGCTATGAAATATTTCGTGCATGCATTTAACGCAACCCGTGAATTTTTTATTCATCATTTTTAACACAATTTAAGAAAAAGACGGTTGCTCGAAAAATCCATCGTTAATTAATTAATTACAAATTACTCGATACAATTTTTGTCGATCGAGAAGAAAATTTCTAAGAATGATAAATTGTGCAAACATTTGTTCGAAAGAGGATATTTAATATAAGACATTTAAAAATTGTCTGATTTCTAACTTTCGGATCTTTCACATTTGAAAAGTAATTTCGATCGATCGATAGATCGGTGTGAACGTTTCCCAGAATTTTACATTGAAATACGAGTGGAAATTGAGGTTATTGACACAGCATTCGTTGTTCTCAGATAATTCGTGTTTGCGTGCATTTTAATCTTGTTAACATTAGAGCTAATTTGTTCAAAGAAAAAGAAAACTTATCAAATTTCAGTGTAATTATATGTATATATATATATAAAACGAATTTATCGTCGATACTTTTCTCGGCAACGCTCGATACGATTCGTTTTTAATTAATCGAGAATTATCGAAGCGTGAGGCGAGCTCGGCCGAGCTCGCCGTTCGTTCCCTTCTTTTTATTCATCTGCCTCGTCTCTGCTTCGACTGCTCGTTACGCTCTTCTTTCATCTTAAATACGCACGCTTTAAATTTCTCCGCGACGATCCGGTATCACACCAGTCCGACAACTTTTTTCCATCTCGTGTAACGATTTTCGAGTTCTGTCCTCTCTCTCTCCTCCGCTTGTCCCCTTCCTTTCGTCGTCCACTTTTGTAATATGTATTTTTATAAGATTTTTTATAACAGGACGGACATTCGTTCAAACTTCTTTTTTTCTTTTTTTTTCTTCTATCTTTCCTGTATACAATT